AGATAAAAAATTACAGGTCCCAGATTAATTTTTAGTCACAAATTGTCGAATTTTAAGGTCACAGTTAGTCCATNGAGAGAGAGAGAGAGAGAGAGAGAGAGAGAGAGACTATCGTGTGTGGGGGGTGAATTGATAAATTAGGGTTTTAAAGGAATAATTATTTAATTAAAATGATAAAAAAATCTTTTTTTTAAAAAGATTAAAAAACTTGATAAATGAAAAAATGTGAAAATTCGATTTTTTAAAATGTGAAAGAAAATGTCTGATTTTATGTAATTACCACATTAAAAAGTTGAGAGGGGAATAGTGTCACTAGTACAAAATCATAGATTTCACAGAGTTGTGTACAAAAATTACAAATTTCTCTTTTAAAAATTAAGCAGAACCAAATCGAACAAGGGAAAAGTTCATAGATCAGGTATTAACTTTGACACTTACAAAAATTAGGTGCTAAAGTTTTTAAATTGTAAAAATCAGATTTTTACTTTTTATAATCAGGTGCTAAACTTTAAAATTGTAAAAATCAGGTTTCTACTTTTTATTAATTAATGAAATATTTAATTGTGTAATTTGATAACATATATCTTATTAATTAGTTAAAAATTAATTTTAGATCACAGTTTATCCAAAAAATTATAGGTCACAATTTTTTTATCGGTCACAGATAAAATTTTTTGTAGGTCACATATTATTTTGAGGTCACAAATCTAAAATTTTATAAGTCACAGATTATTTTATTGGTTACAGATAAAAAATTACAGGTCCCAGATTAATTTTTAGTCACAAATTGTCGAATTTTAAGGTCACAGTTAGTCCATTATGCGGTTACAGCTAGTCTAATTTGTGACCACCATTAGCACTTACAACAACCAGTTCAATGCTATCTCTAACAGGATTACCACCACCGTCACCTAGAGGTGTCAATCCGGGTGGTCCGGGCCGGGTCGGCCCGCCAACATGTGAGCCCGGTAATAGCCTTCGTGAAAAAAAGCCCGCCCGCTGCGGGTTCCGGGCCGGTTACGGGTCGACCCACAATTTTGGACTCCAACCAAAGCCCGCCCGCTGNATTTTTACTTTTTAATAATTAATTAAATATTTAATTGTGCAATTTGATCACAGATATCTTATTAATTAGTTAAAAATTAATTTTAGATCACAGTTTATCCAAAAAATTATAGGTCACAATTTTTTTATCGGTCACAAATAAAAATTTTTGTAGGTCACATATTATTTTGAGGTCACAAATCTAAAATTTTATAAGTCACAGATTATTTTATTGGTCACAGATAAAAAATTACAGGTCCCAGATTAATTTTTAGTCACAAATTGTCGAATTTTAAGGTCACAGTTAGTCCATTATGCGGTTACAGCTAGTCTAATTTGTGACCACCGTTAGCACTTACAACGACCAGTTCAATGCTATCTCTAACAGGATTACCACCACCATCACCGACAAAACCATCGCCACATTTGTTACAAATTTCATTCAACCAAAAAAATTGTCACAAACACCTACACCACATTCCACCACTATAAAGCATCACACCACCACCACCACCACCACCGTCGACATCACCGCCACTACAACACTAACATCACCCACACCCTATTCCACTACTCCAACACCCATAATTAAAAAATGGCAATTACAAGAACCATAATTAATCCAACACCCACTCCCGAATCAATACAAAAAATTTGATTTTCTTAATCTCAATAAAATCAAAAGGATATTATTTGTTACTTGATGGTGGGTTTCCGATTCTGAATCAGAATTTCTTCAGAAACGATATTGGTGGTTGGGATAGGGTGGCACAGGCGGGCATTGGAAATTTTTTCGTCAATAGAAGTGGTGCTATGCCGAAGCGTTCTCAGCTACTGATTCAGAGTAGGAAGAGAAATCCCATGGCGATTGCGATTTCCATCATCTCCAGAAGGATAAACCAGCAATAATCATCCAATACAAGCTGCAGTATCACACCAACGCTTCACTAGCACCGATCCATTTTTATCTCCTACATCTCTGACTTACCTGAACCCCCGCCGCAAAATCCGTGACCTTGAGTTCCCAATTCTCGTCCAGCAATAGGTTTTCCGGTTTCAGATTATGGTGGAAAACGCCGACAATAACCTATTGCAGTGGTTGGAAATATTTGCGGCCGAGGTCCTCGTTGAATTGGGTCTTGGTCACCAAAACCTCGTGGAGGCGGATGAAGTGGACTCAAGGTCGCTCCAAGGAGAGAGAGAGAGAGATGGGGAGGGGGAAGATTAGTAAATTTGGTTTGATAAATTAGGGTTTATATACTACCTGATTTTTGCAAAAATAAATTTAAAATCTGATTTTTTAAAAGAAATGCCTGAGTTTTAGAAATGTATACCTGATTTTTTAAAAGGTCAAATTAAACCCCTGGTTTTATGTAATTTTTCCAATCGAACAACTTTTTCGATTAGGCCGAAAGGTAGGGCCCATTTGTCTCACTGAAAGCCCAGCCCATTGAACTCTAAACTCCGTTGACTGATGCTGCAAGTCTGTAACAATACCGCAGAACACCCCGAACAGCATGAACCCCCCCTCAATTAGGTATTTCTCATCTAATTAATACGTACAAGTGTAGTGATTTTATCTAAAATATTTGATCAAATTTTGGAATTTAATATTTTATGCTTGTGTTGTCTGGTTGTTTTACAACAGTTTGATGTAAATTTGTGAGGGAGATTTGTTTTCTTTTGCTTGTGTTTTAGAATAATTCGTTCTAAATTTTGGGGATTTTTATTTCTTATGCTTATTGTTGTAAATTTTGGGGGTTTTATTTCTTTTCCCTGTGTTTCTCGTAAATTTTAGTTTTCTGGGTGTTGTTGAACAATTTTTTTGTAAATTTTTGTGGATTTTATTTTTCATGTTTTTCATGTTTGTGACTTCTAGGCGTTTAGGTGGTTGTGAATTTTGTGGATTTTATTTTCTTATGCTTCTGCTTTCTTGGTGTTTGGCGGGGTTTTAGAATTCCAGGAATTTCTGTAGATTTATGGTGTCTTATTGTATTTTCTTTATTGATTTTGTGAAATGGAATTAGAAATGTTAGATTAATTGTGTGTTTATATTTCTTTTTATCCGTAAGATATTTTAGGGATTTTGTTCATAGTGGTGTAAGAAGTTAGTTTTTTTTTTTTTACGTTACTCATTTTGAGTTTCTTTTATATGCTGTATTTGAGGAATTTGACATTTATTTATGTTGATTTTATGTGGCCTCTTTTCTGTTCTTTTTTTTTTAATTGGCCCTTGTTGTTTATTATGTATTAGTACTATTTTCATTTTATATGTTGAATAAAAAAATACTAATCATGTAATTTGTTAAAGTTCACAACCAGGGAAAAATTGAGAAATGAAAAATACTCATTTGGAGGCAGTAAATTGTTTCCTTATCTTATAATAATATAAATTATGGTTTACTCGTGATAATGAGAAATAATTTCTTATAAAATTACCTGCCTTTGCATGGACATGTCTCTGATGTTGAGTTTTGTTCTCTGAATGGAATTAGATGCGAGGATACATTTGCTTAGGTTTTATGATGTGAAGTTGGATGACAATTAGCTTTAATTAGGGTTCCTTTGGTCATTACTTAATGCTGCTGCTTGAACCGCGAATGAAAGGCATGTCTGATAAGATGATGTGACACCATAAGATTGGTACTTGGAGTAATGTGAAACGCTCTTTCAGCATAGTTTTTTTATTTTTTATGAACTACTTCATGTTGATTTCTCTACTTCATGCTTCCTTTAAGGGTGGTTAAAGTAATTACAAGACATAAGCTGGTCGACAAAATAATTAAGTCAAAAAATAAGAGCACGTAATATGGGTTGTTTCCTAGCACAATAGTATATCATTTAAATCGGGAAGCTGTATGTCTTTCTCCGGTAAATTGTTATTAAAGGACTTTGTTTATTTTCTGGAGTCTCAAAAGTCATGGAAACACATGCGGCTACACAGGCTGTTTATCATTATGATAGGTGAGGGCCTGAGGCATCCTAACAAACATGTAGATGTGAACCTGGATTCTACATGACCTAATCAATTTGATCATATGCCTCTGATCATTGTGGCATTTTTTACTTCCCTCTTTCAATTAATGGTCCCTTTAGGCTTTTCTTCAATTGTACCTAATAATCTAATATTTTCATGACCAGAGAGAAGTTGAGTATGCACAAAAGAGAAAAAGTGAGATGTGATTGAAATGAAACACATTGAATTCGTAGGTTCTACAATCAGTCTATCAAATATACCTGGTCGGTTTTCAGGAAAAATGAAATTGGTGATTGATATTATGGTTGAGAGAACATGATGTGATAATACAATTGAATTTGCTTTAGAGCGGAAAGCTAACGTAGTCAGCTGAGAGAATATAAGATTCTCTGTCCATAGTAAAAATTGTGATAATCTACTACTAATCAGTTAGATTGATTTTTTTTACGATAATGCTATATCTTGTAAATTAGTAAATTATTTACAATGCTGTATTATATATTTAAGTTAATTAAAAATAATACTGTTTTGCAAGTTTCATGTAAGACTACAAAATTAAGTTAATACAAAATACTGGTCAAAGAAATTAATAGGTTATTTTTTAAGTGAACAGAGAATAATTGCCCACAAACACTTTTACTGCCATACCATTAACCACTCCAGCTACCAAACTCAGCTGAAAAAGCACAGAGTTTAGGACTTGGCAGTTAAATTGTTGTGATAGAACATGCTATTTGCAGTTTTCATCTGGTAAAACAAGCTTCCCACTCTCGTTTAATTTATATATTCACGGCCACAAGTTACATATGGATATGTAATTGTGTATATATATTTGGAAACTGTATGAAGCTACTGCAAATTGATGTGTATAAATTTTTCCAAACGTTGCAGGCTCTCTTCAATTGTCGGAACTTGATGTTGGGCGGGTCCTATGATCTGAGAACAAATAATTTGTGTGTTTGAGAACTCGTTTTCATAAATGGTGCAGTATAGTTCTTTCCGTGCTTGGATCAATCGCTTCCTTGCTTGTATGGGGTATGTACTCAAATTTTAATCTTTTTTTTTTTTAACTATGATTTTTACTTTATGAAGAATTTGGATATATTACATTCTTTTGGCAATGAATATACATTGGGTAATGAACAATTGAACATTTAGGGTTTTGTTGAGCTCCATTTTTTTGGGGGGAATAGATTTCGTAATATTGATTATTCGGAGGATGTGTGGTTGAAAAGTAAAGAAAAGTTTTGGATTTATGTGTAACATTATTTTATTTTGAGAATGTGTAGTTAAAAAAGAGTTTGGAAAAAAAAAATGAGTTAAAGAATGGGGCTTAAATAGGGGCTAAATTAATTTTATCAAGATTAGTTTTGTATTTATTTGGCATTTTAGTAACTAATTTTTTTAGGGGGTGGGAATCAAAGTTATTTATGTTAGAGCGCTGAAACTATATTTATACCAAAAATATGCAATGATGTGAAGCTAATTATATTCCTGAGTTCCAATTGGTGAGAGTAGGAATTAGTCAACAAAATTTGTGTGTAGTTATAATTTATAAATGAAACGAGACTTGGAATAAAGATTGGCTTTTAAGTACTGACACTGAGAGTAATAAAACAAGCACCCCATCCCTTTTTTCTAATTCATTGTCTTTTTATGTTCTTATAACACCGATCCAAAATCATTTCCAGTGTTCAAAGTTACCTGCTTAAGTTTTCCGAAACATGTCCTATTCTTGTTTGTGAAACATGATTTGATTGTCTTGCAGAAACATAGTGATCTGAAAATACATACGTATTTTACATGATGAGCACTGTAGTGGTGGATTGTGTATTAATGGAGTTACACTATAAAATTGTGCTCAATTGTTGTGGCCAAATTTAGACAGTCTACTTTGAACAGAGGTATGAGAAAATTGTAGTTCCGAACGTGACTTGTAAAAAGTTTGTTTCACTAAAAGCATATGATTAAACAGAACGTGTTTTTGGTTGTACTAAAACAAAAATATATAAAGGACAACCCAATGAATTTATTTTAACTTCCAACATCAACTTTAAGAAAGCTTCATACAAGTCAGTCAGATTTGCATAGCTTTCTGGTGCCAAATGATTTTGCTTAACGTTAATCCTGATATCTTGTGAGCACTCATTACCAAACATGTGACGGTAATACAATAAGCGTTTCCAGTGAAAAAGTTGTAGGCTCCCTGAGTAAAGTATGTACTTGTTAAAATTATTATGAAACTTAAAAATGTCAAGTCCTCCTTCCAAACCTTTTCTACCAAGGGTAATTTTAATCATATGCTCCATGCATATTATGTAATGCACACACTCAATCACTTCAAAGCTAATCATATACTCCCTTGATGGAATGAAACCAACATCCCTGTTCCTCTGTCCAAAGGCTCCAATTGAACAATTTCACTCCTGTAATCTGTGCATGTGGAAATTGTCAAAAGCCTTTCCATCTTGTTTCTATAATTGTTTTAATTATTTTAAATAGTTGAACTATCTCACTTCTGTAATCTATGCATATATGGAAATTTCCATAAAGCCATTCCATCCTGTTTCTATAATTGTTTTCATTATTTTAAATAGTTTCTGGAGGTTTGCACCTTGAGTCCTGCTATGCATGAAGTTCTAATTAAATGCCTTGAAGCTTATGGCTTAAGTGTCATTTTCAGGGCTTAAGTCTCGATTCACTGAGGCTTACGCCTAAAGGTGACTGAGGCGTGCATCCATTTGTCTTGCATTTATGGAATTTTTATGGCGTCAACTTTTTTGGAATATTTTTTATTAGTCTAGAACTTTTTATTTTATTTTTTCTTTCCCTATTATGTGGACGTGGAAGGATATATCACCATTGTAAATAGAGGATGATGATAAATAACGAGAAGAAACTAACAATGATGAGGAGGATGGTTGGGAAATTAAATATGTAGATTTTCTTTAAGATACTGTTTGGTTGGAGATCTTTAGGTTATTTTTACTTCTATTAATAGATTTTTGTTATGTGATTACAAGCTTAAGAACTTATTATTTATTGATCTATTTTTATATTTGTTTTAGAGTTAGACTTTCAATTTTGTCGATCTGTTTTATGATGGATTTTTTTTTTTTTTTTTATAGATAATCAGAAAATTTTATTAATCAAAGAAGAATACACATGAAGTGTATTATCAGTTTAAACAAGAAAGAAAAGATAATAAGTTAGACAGCCCCTCTATAGGATTGCTAGTCGCTGCATTAAACCAAGTATACAAAGTTAGATAAAATAATTCTCTAAATTGCTCTGTATTCCGTGTTTGGTCTTCAAAGCATCGGTTGTTCCTTTCCCTCCATACACACCAAACAATGCATCCCGGGATAAGATTCCATACTAGCTTGCTATTCTTATCACGAAATTTCCTCCTCTATGCACGTAACACGTCCTCTATACGTCATGGCAACACCCAATCAATATGTTGAGAAGCCAGAATACTGTTCCACAGCCAACGGACACCATCACAGTGAATGAATAAGTGGTCATGCGTCTCCCCATCACTCCCACACATATAGCACCACTCGGTAACATAAAAGCCTCTTTTTCGGAGATTATCCATCGTTAATGCCTGTCCCCTCACAACTGTTCAAAGTAAAAATGCCACCGTGGGAGCAATTTGCAATGCCACACCATCATCCAGGGGAATGAACTCTCCACAGGTCCCAAGAGAGATCTAAAATAAGAACGAACCGAAAAAATACCATTCTGTGCCAGCCTCCATCGGCTACAATCCTCCTCTCCTACCCGAATTTGCACCTCATACAAATCTGTTAGAAACAATGCATAGTCATCCAATTCCCAATCCTGCAGACCCCTATGAAAAGTGATATTCCAACTGTGACTCTCATTGTGCATGGCCAAAACGTCATTCACCATAGCAGAAGGCATCATAGTGATTCGATGCAAGGAAGGGAACCCCAACTTCAGCGGTGTATCTCCACACCAACAATCATCCCAAAATCTAATATTATTACCATTCCCCACTACAAAAGTCAAGCTATTTCGAAAGTCATTCCATCCTCGTCGAATATACCTCCATAGACTCACCCCGTGAGACCCGCGACCCTCACCCGAACACCATCCCCCCTCCATCACACCATACTTCGCCCCAATAATTTCTCTCCAGAAACTCTCCCTCTCCACACCAAACCGCCACAGTCATTTGCCTAATAATGCCTTGTTAAACAAAGTAAGTCTCCTCAATCCAAGACCCCCCATCCTCATAGGAGAGCAGATAACTCCCCATTTAACCAAATGAAGTTTCCTCTCCTCTCCCAACCCTGCCCAAAGAAATTCCCTTTGAATCCTCTCTAATCTGTTAGCCACTGCAGCAGGAATGGGAAACAGTGACATAAAATAAGTAGGGATATTTGATAGAGTAGATTTAATGAGAGTAAGACGACCACCCTTCGAGAGATACATACGTTTCCACCCCGCTAACCTCCTTTCCACTTTCTCCACAATAGCATTCCAAATATTAATATTTTTAAACCGCGCCCCCAAAGGGAGTCCAAGATACGACATAGGTAACTGCGCAACCCTACAACCTAATATAATAGCTAGTTCCTCCACATTAGCGACCTCCCCTACTGGAATAACCTCGGATTTCCCCAGATTCACCTTCAATCCTGACACCGCTTCAAAGCATAAGAGCAACCTACGTAAATTCCTGACTTGCTCCTCAACTGCGTCACAAAAAATCAATGTGTCATCCGCAAATAACAAGTGGGACACCTGCATCTGACCAACTGTAAATCCCGCAAGCAAATTCTCCCGCCTTGCTTTCTCAAGCATCTTACTGAGGGCCTCCATTACAATAACAAACAGTAATGGAGACAATGGATCCCCTTGCCTCAACCCTCTGCTACTCCGAAAATAACCCTCGGGGGTACCATTAACTAAAATTGAAAATGATACAGTAGAGATACAGAACTGAATCCATTTACACCACTTATCCCCAAATCCACATCTCCTAAGCATATACAGAAGGAACCTCCAATTCACGTGATCATAAGCCTTCTGAATATCGAGCTTGCATAACAACCCTGGGACCCCTAGGCACTGTCTAGAATCGATGCATTCATTCGCTATAAGTACAGAATCCAAAATCTGACGACCTTTCACGAAAGCATTCTGAAACTTAGACACCACTTTCCCTAGCACCGCCTTGAGTCTATTTGCCAAAACTTTCGCAATAATCTTGTACATCCCACTGACCAGGCTAATAGGGCGAAAATCCTTAATATCAGTTGCTCCCGGTTTCTTAGGGATCAACACAATAAATGTTGCATTAGAGCTCCTCAAAAACCTGCCACGCTCAAAAAAGTATGTGAAAACATCAAAAACATCTTGTTGCACCACCTCCCAACATGTCTTATAAAATGAGAACGAGAACCCGTCTGGTCCTGGAGCCTTATCATCATTCATACTAAACACGACCTTCTTGATTTCATCCTCCCCAAATGGTCTCTCCAACCAACCGGCATCCACCTCCGTAATAGTAGAAAACTCCAATCCCTCTAACTCCGGCCTCCACTCGAACTGCTCTCGATATAGGTTCTGATAAAAGTTCACCATATGGGTCCCTATATCCTGTGGATCCTCATAAGTAACCCCATCTACCTCCAACACTATGACAGAATTATTCCGCTTGTTAGAATTGGCAACCATATGGAAAAACTTAGTGCATTTGTCTCCCTCTTTCAACCACGTAACCCTAGATTTCTGTCGCCAAGCAATCTCCTCCATTTCTGTCGCCAAGCAATCGCCAATTGAGCATTTATAAACTTTGCTCTTTTTTTTTTTTTTCTTTCTTTTGTTTTCTGGACGCTGGTGGCTGAAGCTTAGTTGTATATCTTTTATGAACCTAACAAAGTGACAGAAAAAAGATTTGTGTAGTAGTAGAAGTTTGAATCGTGTGTCATGTTTCATAAATGGGCTGTCCAATAGTTTTTTGCAAGTTGAGAGACTGATGATTTAGGATAAGTTTAGGCAGAGAAACAGGTTAAGATAACTGGTACATAGTGAGGGATCAGTTTCATACTTCACAGTATCATGTTAATACAATAAATATTTTGCCATCCTCAGAACTTTGACACATTCGTGGATGTGTGCTCATAGGTAAGGCAAGGTGATTTACTGTAACATAGGCTTAATCCTTTTAATTTGAAAACAAAATTTTCAAGCATGGTCTTGAATGTCGTCTTTATGGAAATTCCTTGTGGCATATTAATGTTGTGCCATTTACATGTTGCAGTCAAGAAACGCTTGTCCTCTTTCCTCTTCCATGCACCTGATAAAAGTAAAGAGCAATAGGATTCCTATTTATTGATGATGATTTTTTTACTGTTCTCTGATTCCAATTCCATTTATTATGGAAGTGTCCAAAGAAATTTTCTGAAGTAATCTGTGTATTCATGTGCATATACAAGTTGTATTGACAGTAGTATTTCTTCTAGGAAAGCATTATGTGGAATAACTTCAAGTTAATTGTTTCCCAAAAACATGCGACTTTAATTGATAAGATATTAGTAATGAAGTGTACCTGTTTTGTGGTTTAACTGTATCTTGTTCGTGCCAGCATTTTTTGCATGCGTATAAACTTGAATTGTGACAGAGCAGAGGTTGTCTTGGTTGCTGTGCTAAATCCCAACCAATTATTGCGGTGGATAAACCATCAAAAGGATTGAGAATTCAAGGACAAGCGGTGAAGAAACCGAGCATTTCAGAGGATTTTTGGAGCACCAGCACATGTGATATGGACAACAGCCAAGTTCAATCTCAGAGAAGCTTATCATCAATTAGTTTATCAAATCAGAGCCTCAGTCAGTACAGTGGCACTGGCAGCACTAGCAACTGTCCTGAGTTTGTAAATCATGGCAAGTATATTTAACTTCTTGTTTTTTCTCATGAAACTGATGAGCAAAAGTTTCATCACTGAACAGCTCTTTAATCATCTTAAATATTCCTGTGGTGCGTGATGTCCACGTGAACTGATGATGGGACTCGGGATCATTGCATTTTCACTTAGCTATTTTTCTTACTTTCTGATGCTGTTGCAATTTTTCATTTTCTATGATGTAGGTTTTTTGCACTGGAATCAAACTAGGCTTATGTGGAATGGAAGTACAAAGTCACAGAGCAAAGGAAAAGTTGAGGAACCTGTTTTAAAGTATGCATTTTGCATTTACTCACGTCTTCAATGAAATATTTTAGTGTTATAAATCATTTTTTATCAAACGTACTTTTTATCCACTCATTTTATATGACCCAGTGTCCACATCTACTACCCTCTGCTTAAATTATAAATCTGTGGGACCCATTGCTTAAATTATAATCTTTGAAGTGATAAGTTGCTTTAGTGTGACCTGATGCATGACCAGTTGGTAGTTTCTATACTATGCCTATGCTATGGGATCTTTAAGGGTTAATTCCACAAGTGGTCACTAAACTTTTAGCAAAATCTCATATTGGTCACTTGACTTCATTTTGTTTCAAGTCGTTCACTAAGCTTCAAGTTTGTTTTAACTTGGGTCACACTCTCCATTTCGGATGGTTTTGCGTAACAGGAAATGAGACGTGCAATCCAGGTTTTTGCTAACTAGACTGCAACTTCAGCTTTTCTCATACTCGAACAAAACGGACAGAGATAGAAGGCCAAACTATCACATACAACTAAGTTTAGTGACTAACTTGAAACAAAAGTTTAGCAATCAACTTGGAATAAATTAAAGTTAGTGAGCAATATGTAATTTTGCTCTAGTTCAACAACCACCAGTGTGTTTAATCAGATCTTTTATCCAGTATGTAACTTGAACCTATATCACTTTTTCATTTTAATTTTTTGGATTATTTTGTTCTTCAACACCACGGTTCTTTACCTTTCATCGACTAACTAGTACTTTTATTGCAGTTGGAATGCAAGTTATGAAAGCTTACTAGGCACTAGCAAGCGTTTCCCTCAACCAATTCCTCTCTCAGTGAGTCGATTATGCTATTTCCTGCTGCTTTTCATGTATTTCTTCTGTTGTATTTATGTTGAATAGACCCTCATGGTCTTTTAATGGCAACAGGAAATGGTCGAGTTCCTTGTGGATATATGGGAGCAAGAGGGCATGTATGATTGAGTAAAACCGTCTTTGGTGATTTATTCTCTCTTATTGTCCAATTTTTTTGCGAGATTGAGCCTTAAAAAAAGGTTGGATGTATAGTTTCTAATAGGGAAGGGTGTGAAAGAGAGACTAGTACAAAGCTGTTTATGTCTGAAATGTCCTATGCTCATGGTTACTTTGTTTTGCCATCTGTTAATGTCTAGTGTCCTTCAACTGGACGATCAGGTTTTTAAATGGATAAACCCACAAGTACCGTGTTTTGTTTGAGGAAATTATGTGTAATACTCATTTTAAAATAATAATTCATATCATACATTCTAACATTTTTTGTACTATTATTATTGTAAAAATGGAACACAATAAACAACTAAATATAAATTGATTTTCTCGACAGCTTCTATTACTCCACCAAACAAGCCCCAATTTAATTTATTCAATTGACGTTCGAAATCCCAAAATTTTAGCCTTTACCAAATAATATTTATTTTGATTTTGTCCGTCTTGGTTGATCAAGCATCGCTATTATATTTATTGGTTACTTTTCTTGATGTCATGGTTTGGAATGTTTATTTTAGATTAATTGAAGATCTATTTGTTTCTCGACAATTAATCATTGTTGAAGATGCGACTTTTCGTATTTTCAGTAAATTATTTTTGCACATAGCTCAGCATCTTGCTTTAACATTTATAATAAGAAATGTATACGAGATGTGGAGCTTTATCTGCTTCATCATGAGTGTACATGCTATTGGCTGCGTTGTTAAGTGAAACGGCATAGTCCAAATTATATTTGACATTGAATCTATATGTCGAATTTGATGCAATCAAAAAGCCAGTGTTTCCATGACTAACTGTGCTGTGATACTGCGATGTATAGGCATATTTGCATCAGTCAAGTTCCACAACCATTGAATCATCCTTCATGTGAGTACCTTTCTTAACAAGCTCTACATTACATTGAAAATTACAAAATCTCAATTAAAAGAAGCATAAATAAAAACAAATATACAATCTAATAAGCTTGGAGAAAAAACTACATTCTAATTACCAGTTTCCAATTGAATCAATTCTTCATCTAATTTTTGTCAATAAAAGGGACCATGATAACCATGTAACTAATATTTTGTATTGATGTCCAACAATATGTTGTAAGGCACACCCTTTGTTATTAGAAATAAGTTTACCTTTCAATATTTCCTTCTCCTCACTGTAAAGTTTCAATATATCCCTCGCAATTGTTCTACGAGATGGAATATCAAACTTAGGGCAAGCATATCATGAATTTTCTAAACCTGACACCATCAACAAAGCTAAATGACAATTCATCCACAATAATCATTTTCACCATTGCCCTCCTACATGCTTCTTTGTTAAACACCACAGCAGTAATATTGGCAATGCCACCATCACCATCATCATTATTGTCATTTAACTGTCTTGCTAGTACCTTTTGTCTTTCATCGATTTTGATACTTTTAAAAGCTTGGCAATTTTTAAAGTGTTTCCACAAGCCAGAAGTACTAGTTTTACTAGAATCACAAGCATAAGACTTTCCACAGTAATTACATTTGGCTTTTTTTCTCCCTTGTATCTTTGTAAAATATGACCATACTTCCGATCTCATATTCGGATTTTTTTTTTTTATCTTCATCCATCTCGATATTTATCTACAAACAATATACAAATAACATGAAATTGTAATAAATTTAACTGTACTAAATTTAAAAGCAATTCTTAAAACTCATTAAATGAAAATCTCAAAAAATTTATAAATAAAACGGGCACAAATTGCAAATCAACCAATAACGAGGTATTATGCAAAAAATACAAAAGTACCGGATTATCTTCAATAATCTTCAACTGATGAAGGCTAGCCGACTTTGGAGAAACAAGAAAATTGATTTTTTCCTAAAGATTGTGTGGCAGATTTTTTAATTTGTAGTTTACGTCTTAGAATTTAGAGATGAAATTATATAGTATAAATACGTATAGATTTACCCAATATTTTAAATTTTTAATTTGGCTTGAGTAGGCAATAATCAATTAATAAAAGAAGATAGAAGGAAAGAATCAAAGAAAAGATGAAAATTGAAGCTTAAATTGAAGACGGAAAAGGAAAAAAAAATCCGATGGGAACTGTAGATTCCCATGCTAGAACCGGGAATTGGACCGAACTGATCGGTTCTCGATAATATGTCCCAAAATCAAAATATTTTTTAGAAGATCCGGAGCCGAACCAGCCAGTTCTAATTGGTTCCGGTTCGATTCCACCGGTTCCGGGAAAAAATGCCCACCCCTAGAATGTATACTGTTTTTTAAATTTCAAAATATATTTGGTATTGTATGAAATAGTTTATATTTCTTGTGCAAATACGATTTTTTCCCTTTATGTTCCAACTCTTCTTCCTAGTTAATTTCATGTTTAACTCTGTACTTTTCGCTTGTTCATCAATTTCCTTAAATTGTTTAAATTGATCATGATGTGTTAAGCAATATTACTAAAAATAATTTAATTTAGAGAAAATGTGAATTTGTGTTTGGTTATCGAGGGCAGTTTGATTCATGTTCCAGTTTTGAGGTTATTTTTAATTTTCTATTTTGAGGATATGTTTAAAGATTGATAAAAACGCATTTGATTGAAATTTTTTATGACATTTTATTCCATGAAATTTGATTCTTCGGTAAAAAATTACTAATTTTATGTTAATGTATTATCAAGTAATATCTATTTTAAAGTTGGTCAGTCTCATTATATTTTTTTTCATTAAATAAATAATCATTAAGAGTTTGAAATTATTTTTATTTTTCTATTTTTTTTTAGAATTTTAGATTTTTATTGAGTAATTTTTTCAAGTGGGGTAAATGAGTAATTTGAACCAGACCAATTTAAATATTGGGAATAATTTATATATGATATTTTAACTATGACCCCATTTCAAAACTAAGAAATAAGATTTAAAATTTCAAAAATCAAATATTACTAAATTCTATTTATGAATTTATTAATTAAATATATTAATGTCATAAATTATTGAATTAATTGATTACAAATTATTTCTGGGTCACAAATAAAAAATTTTATAGGTCAAATTATTTCTGTCACAGATCAAAAAATTTATAGTCGCAAATTATTCTCGATCACAGATAAAAAAAATTTTATAAGCCACAATTTATTCATTGATCACAAAATCACAAATTTTATAAGTTACAACTTATTTAACACTCACAAATTATTAAATTTTTCAGTCACAAGTAATTCCTCGATCACAACTTAACAAATTTTGAGTCACAACTACATTTTTAGGTCACATTATTTAATGATTACAAATTAACCAATTTATTTGTTACAATCAACCATGTAATTGGCAACAAATTATTTATTGATCACATATTAACTAAGTTATGGTAACAATCAACCAAAAAATTGGTCACAAATACTCCTCATTCCCAACCACACCTCACCACCACCACCACCACAACTAACGATTCAGTTAAATCATCACTCGCTCGCAGTCGCCTCCACCAAAAATCCCAAATTTGTCGCCAACACCACCACCACCGCATGTATCAACAATAATCACCACCACCACTACTTGTATCATCAAAATCATCGCAAACGTCGATCTAACAAAATCATCGCCATCACCAGATCCAACAACGTTAATATTAGATCCACCGGTGATCCAACAAAATCCACCACCACCAGGTCCACTTCCACCACCACTAGATCCTCCACCATCTCCACTAACAAAAACCATAGCTAAAACATGTAAACCATCGCCACCACCATTTACGGGGCTAGGTGCCTCGGCTCGCGACTTCTTTACACAGCGGCATCATTACTGCTGCAGGTGACGCTATAGCAAAGAAGCCTCACCGACGCTGCTAACGGCTTCTGTACGTGACATTGTGTAGAGAAGCCTTGTCGACGACTATGCATGGCCTCGTGCAGTGCTGCCCTGGAGTCTAGACGTTTGGTGGCAGCAATGAGGTAGAGAGAAGAAGAGGTAGAGTAGAGTAGAGAGAATAGATTGAGGAGGAAGGAAATTGATATTAGGATTTGGGGTTTGAGTATAAAATTAATTGAATTTTATAATATTATTATTTAATATTGAAATATTGTATTATCATCTGATTTTTGTATATATATATATTCTTATTATTATTTTTTTAGTTAAAAGATGGCGGTACCAACGATATTTTATTAATATGGCATCACTTGTGGTGGAGGAATACCGTGATTACATGAGTAAATGATTAAAGCAGTAAATGAGAAAATACTACTTCTCTTATAATGAAAATAAATGATCAAGGAAAAATGTAAAAATGTAAAAAAAGAAGTATTACTTCCCTTACAAATAATAACTAATGATTCTAATGCAGTCTTTAAAAGTAGGGATCAATGTAATTTTCACTTAAATATTTGGAGATATGATATCAACAAGCCGATCTTAGCCTGGAACGGGAACCATAATGGGCTGATCCTTTAACATATATGGGCCATGTCGGTTCCATATCTTGGATCAGCCAGTACATTTTGACACGAGAACAATTTACAATTAAGACATTAACTATGCACAATTCAAAAATTAGGTTTTCAGTTTAATTAAGACAAAAATCAAGTATTTATTTATTAATTAAATATAATAAAGTCACAATTATACAATTAATGGTTACAGGTACATAATCATAGGTCACAACTTATTTATTGATCACGTATTATTAAATTAATTGATCATAGATTAATTCGAGATCACAAATCAAAAATTTTATATGTCACATTTTATTTTATTGGTCAAAGATAAAAAAAATTATAGGTTACAGATTATCAATCAGTCACATATTTTCAAATTTGTTGATCACAAATTATTGAATTTTAAGGCCAGTTTATCAATGAATCACATATTTTCAAATTTGTTGGTTACAAATTATCGAATTTTAAGGTGACGTTTAAATAATTGGTCACGATAACCAAATAGTTGGTCACGGATAAAATAGTGGGTCACATACAACCACTACCTACACTGTCACCGTCGCCACAGATCCACCACCATCCTCGTCGCCGCCAACACTACCACAAACATCACCACCGCATCACACCACCACCACAACATCACCACCAACAAAACCGTCACCTCCAGATCCAACAAAAAAAATCCCAAACCCGCCACCACCTCCATCCCTATCTCTGCCACCAGATCGACCACCATCCATGTTACCGCCTACAACACAGACATCACCACACCACACCACAACCATCATCCATGTGACACCCCGAACTTAAGCTTAGAGTGTCACGTACTAAACATAATATCTCCTGCCTTCGTTACATATAAAAACTCTTAAATAAAATATAATGCATACTGGAAACCTATTTTTAACTTACGATAAAATATCACTGTAAAGTTTAATGGCCAGCAGAAGTGCATGCCAACCTGAAATTATTCTTTACATATGCAAACTCGGTGCTGTTACGGCTAGTTTGGACAGCCGATTCAAACATTTTTATAAAATTCACCCCAACTCCATTTTCTATGAAATTTGTGGCATTCGAAAGATATTTCCAAGAGGTTTCCTAGGTTAAAATATGGAGAGTTCCCAAGATCATATGATATCGACGTTTTACTAAAAACAGTGAGGTACGGCATAGAAACTTCAGATTAACCTTTCGACACTTAAAAATTTATATCTCCGACCATAGATATCCAAATTGAATGATTCTTATGCTCATATTAAGACAACTTAAAGAGGAACGTGGGAGTATTTTTAGAGTCTCAAATAGATGTTTATGAAATTGGTAATATCATTTTGAACTGACCTAAAAAAACTATCCAGTTTCTGCCTCTTTTACCGTCGTAGGAAAAAAAGGTCTATAAGCATGCCTTTTAGCGTAACATGAAAGATATGATTACGAACATACTTCTAGTACCATATTACATCAGGTCTTATACTTGTTTATATCTAATATCACACGAAAAACATATGGAAAACGGTCTTTGAACGAAACATACGAAAAGGAAATTTTGATACAAAATAACTTTGTCCTTAACCCATCATCGAGTATGCCAACAGACTTCCACCAACTCAACGATTATGGATCTGAAAATTTAGTATAAAAGACTATGAGTATAAAGAATACTCAATAAGATACCATGCTCGAATTTAACATGTTAATACTACACAAAAGAAAGCATTTAAACATATACTTGCACATTCCGGCTTGCCGATACCCTTCGGACTTGTCCTAAGGTATAAATAGATATCTAACTTCGAGGACTTGTCCACAACTTTCATATTATGGTTCTCATGCATAGCTTAAGTATAAATATTACCATGAAATCCTACCATTTAAGTATAGAAAGTATCTTACCTTAACACTTGGAGTAATTTTGGTTGAAATGTGTACTTGAGAGTGCTAGATTTTTATTTTCCTTTTCACTTGGTTTACTTGGAGATAACTTGAGAAACTTTGGGATTAAGTGTCCTCTTTAGGGGCTATGTAAAGGGGTTGGGGACGTTCTTGATACTTAAGGATGAAGAATTGGTGGTTAAAAGACAAGAGCCTCCGAGCATGAGGTGTTCAAGTATGATGTGGCTTCAAGCAGTCATACTGACTCTTCATTTCTCATATTTGGACCCTTATGTGACCGATAACATATATATATAAGTTGATAAGTCGCTAGAAAACGTGACAGAAGTTTTAAGGTTGAAGGAACTTGATGGTAAACTAACAAATCTCCCAAGCATAAGGTGGTTTTCTTATGGTTAAATCTGATTTTATACCTATTCTTGGAGGATTTATATGAAATTTATGGATAATGTACTGAACATATGAAGCCTTAAGAGAGTTGTAACCATTCCTAATGCTTAATGGTGAAGGAATTGACCATTACAATGACAAATCAACAAGCATGAGGAGTATCAAGCATGAGGTGTCCCTTGTAGTAGAAATCTGATTTTACCTCCATCCTTGCAGGTACATATCAAGTGTCCTTAACTTATTTTGATATCTTTACAATCCATCTTACCTGCCTTAAAATCCCAAAATATTTTATAGCACTATTTTCTTAACCGTTCATTTAATTACTTACCTGATTGACACCCGATTCTTGACCGATTTCAACAAATCGCACAAAAATATTTATAACTTCATATAAAACCCATATTATTGTATAGTGATCATGTCACTTCATACCTCATGTACTAAATATGTCAATTACATATCTAGGGTTTACAATGATCTCGATCAATCGAATGGAAAGCTTAAAACTTTACCGATAATAATTTTGGCTTTTGTAAAAATTCCAATAGCTTAACAAGTCAATCTTCCACATCTAGATAACCTAGCTTCCTTATCATCGCTCAATGTAGAATTCACCACTTAAGTCTAGGAGCTGAAGACTAACATCATATAAAAATCTTAGCATAGAACATCTACTATCGAATGCATCATTTTAAAAGAAAGCAATCAGGAATTAAATGCAATTGACATTATCAAGCATGAAATGCATGAATCATATTGGTCAAATATGTAACGTAAAGTTTGGGGTATTACAATCCACCATAAACCCGCCACCACCACATCACACCTCCGCCACCAGATCGCACTAACGAAGAGACAGATGTAGAATACAACAAAAGAGAGAGGGAGAGGCCGAGCTTGTCGCCTGTGATGCGCGTCGAATGGACTGCAGTGACGTCGACGGACTTGCTCACAGCGACGAGCTCTGTGGTCATCGACGAAGACGACAGCTGGGGGGGGGGGGAGAGAGAGAGAGAGAGAGAGAGAGAGAGAGAGAGAGAGAGAGGAGTGCAGACGAGAGGGAGATAGGAGTGATAAAAAAACTTAAAAATTAGGGTTTTAATATTATTATATTTATTAAAATATAAAATTATTACCCGATTTTTGAATAAGTAAACTTTAAACCTGATTTTTAAAAATCAATCTTTTAAAACCTGGATTTGTGTAATTTCCTCTTTTGACACCACTGACTAGTGGGCTTGAACCTCAAGGATTGCAATTCCATTAGTAGCAGCAGAATTCAGTTGCTCACCGAGAACTTCTAGAGATGTGATATTCTTTCGTATGCAAATTCCTAAGGAAAATGCATAAAAATCGCCTCACAAGGAATCCAAAGAATAGCCGATGCCATTATCTCACACGGTGAGCTTACAAGAATTGTGGGAATTTATCTCAGTCGTACTTTAGAGCAAATATATTCACTCCATTTTGTCTCTCATCAAACGGTCTCACATGTAGCTCCAAAAACCACAAATCATATTTTCAAAACACAATTTCATATCAAGCCGCATACATTTTCTTACCAAATTTTCACTGAAGCTGCTACATGTGCATTAACTTTTACATTAAATTTGACATCCTTTGACATTATAGCCATTAACTTTTACAATATCATTTCACATCACTGACAGATTTTGACACAGAGAAGGGAATGTCATCTTTAATATCAATAAGAATGTACATCTAGATTTATTCAATTTCACCCTACAAATTGTGTTTGAAAATGTGATGTCAGGTTGTGGTTTTGGAGTTGCACGATATTCTAATGTTTACGATAGCGACAAACATTAAATTCACTTACATTTTATGCTGAAATTAAAGTTCAACAATTCAATTGCACCTTATTAAAATACAAGACACCTTGTGCAAGTTCAAACAAGTCCGAAGCAAATATTAGTGATTTGAAGCAGTTCTTTTTACACTGTTTCGAAAAGATGTATGTACGATCTACTGAGACTACTATGAAATATTTATTCATCAGGTCACCAACTTATTTGACTTTCCAGCACCCATACATGATCTTATGCCTTTGCGGAGACGTGTGTTTTTGTCTAATCTGTAACTTTAGTATTTTTTATTTTAATCCCCTTAGACTTGCCAAATTCCATCAATCAATCAAATCATTGTTTCAAGAAATACGAGACATGAAAGTCATACAAGTAAAGAGATCTATCCATTGATAAGAAAAAGAAAAAAAAATGTGAACAGAGATTGAGTTAATGATAAAATATAATCCTGAGTCACGAATAGTAATTCAGTTGATGATGAAAAAAGAGAATTCTTGATTCAGTTCTCCGTCTTAAAGACAGGAAAAATGCGTGATCAAATTCTATATAAAATAATCATAAGGACTATTTAAATAACAAAAGAATTTAAAATTTAGTTTTCTCCACTAAATGGAGTCAGCAGATACCTCCCTCCCATTCATATATTTGTGGAAGCTGTAGCTTATCCGATAAAAAGGAGTATTCAGTACAAATAACACTAAAAGGACATTCTATAATAATATTCAATTTATTCTATTATGCATCGAATTCCATGGAAATTAGCATATACTTCACATTCATACAGATTCAGTGAACTGGATTACTAGGGCCGCCATTACCAAGATCTTAGGATTCTTAGCCCTTGCCCCTTGTTTGGGTCATATTTTCTAAAAACTCATTTTTCCTCAAATTCATTTTCAACCACACTCTCTCCCAATAAAATAATTTGTACGCAAACTCAAAACTTTTCTTGTTTTTGAACCACGCATTCTTTTAAAAATTCAATGTTAACAAAATAATTTTTTTTCCCAAAAACTAATAATGGAACTGTTAAAATCATATCCAGTACTATGTACCAACATACATCAACAAAGTCTAGAAATTATTACGGAAACCATCCTCCAAAGGTACACAAAGAAACAGACAGTATATACTTTTTGAGAGTAATTCAAACATTTCACTATTTATTATTACCGGTAATTATGTACTTAAATACTGCGAAAACATTTGCATAGTAATTGCCAATGTCTAAAGAAATTTTCTCAGTTCACTCTATAGAAACAGTAGATTTCGATTTCTGGTCTGTAAAGCCTCAAAGAAATTTTACATGATATCTCACGTATATTACCTTGAAACTAAAGTCTCCATATTATTTGCTGTGCTTGGTGATTTGCTTCATAACCATGAACTGGATCAGCAAGTCATTGTTCTAAGCAGAGCAGTATTTGTCATTGCTTCCTTTGGTCTCCAAATTATATGACCAATCTTCGTGCATAAGTTCTTGTAAAACTGCAGTAAGAAATTGAAAATAAGACAGTGAGAAGTTGATCAACTCTGGATTCTTCAAAATTGTAAAATGATTTATGTTAGCATTGTAAGGAAAGGTAAACCTTGTGATATTCCAGAGTTTCACCAGCAGCCTTACGAACATCCACCATGAAAAGAGATGGCGCAACTTCAAAAACCTTCACGAATCAAATGTAACAATTACTGTACATAGAACAAATAGAAATCGAGAACTTCTGACGGACAATTGCAGATTGAAGTTTGAAACTTACCTCCAACACGACAGCAAATTGACTTGCCCCTTTAGCAGATACCCCCTCAAGTCTCGTCTGTTGATCATAGTGATCAGAAATATTTGGTTGCACGAAAAGAATTTAGAAAACTTGCAACTAGAGAAATGTTCAGTGTTCGTTGGAAGAGTTGATGATGAAGAAGTATTAGATATTCCCTTCAAGATTTATCAAGATTGGACACTTATTTCAGGAAGAGATTTTGTATTTTATGTTGAGAGATTATCTTCTATTTCTTTTTGTTAATTTAGTAGTTATTCTTATTTACTAGTTCACCTGCAAGTATTCTCACGTCTCTCCCTCTCTCATCTTCTCCTCTCTTTCTCTTCAATTCTTTTCCCCTTTGTAACACCCCGAAAATTCTCTATAGTTGTTAATATTAGAAATTAGGACCTTATAGGGAGAAGTTGAATATCTAAGGATCAAATTGTTTGGTTTATATAATTTAGGGATCAAATAGTGGACTACTCATAGTTAAGGACATAATTGAATTTTGTAGGATCGCTTTCCCTTTTTTTTTTCAAGCTTTGACTGCTACCGTAATTATATCCCGTAATAAAGGAATTAATCATAATTAGAAAAATCATTTAGTTTTTGGAATAATGAATTAGAGTAGGTAATTACTCTCTCTGTGTGTGCGTAACTAAAATTAGGTTAGGAAATTACCATAATTATATGTATGTATATATGTTAAATGCGCAAAATTATAGTCAGAATAATTATAAATACCCTAAATATGGAGCAAATAAAGGGAAATTCCATTTTTCACATAAGGAAATAAAATTCGTTATAGTCGTTAATATTAGAAATTAGAACCTTAGAGTGAGAAGTTGAATGTCTAAGGATCAAATTGTTTGGTTTATATAATTTAGGGATCACATCGTGGACTATTCATAGTTAAGGACATAATTGAATTTTGTAGGATCACTTTCCCTTTTTTTTCTTTTCAAGCTTTGACTGCCACCATAATTATATCCTGTAATAAATGAATTAATCATAATGCTTAATTAGAAAAATCATTTGGTTTTTTGGAATAATGAATTAGATTAGGTAATTACAATGTGTGTTTGTGTGTGTGTGTATATATATATATATATCTAAAATTAGGTTAGGAAATTACCATAATTATACGTACGTATATATGTTAAATGCGCAAAATTATAGTAATAATAATTATAAATACCCTAAATATGGAGCAAATTAGGGAAAATTCCATTTTTTACATAAGGAAAGATTCCATTCTTCAATCTATGCCAATATTTAATTATTTCCACACACACACACACACACACTCACGGCATTCACCTTTCTCCCACACACACACATCATTTCATTTGTCCTACACATTAAAATTTATAGGTGTGCTCTTAGTAGTCAAATACTTCACACTCATTTTATCAAATTCCATTCAATTACGAGGTAAGTGATGTTGCAAGTGGTTTATGTGAACTTGTATCTTGTACTTTAAATTTTGGAATTCGTTCATGGGCCATATGTGTTTATGATAAGAGGGTCAGAGTTTAGTAGCGCTACGCACAGAAATTACTACCACCTATGTTTGGAGTAGTTCATATCTCCTATATGTATGATATGAAATCTCGTTTTCCTTAATTTAAATGCAAATTACTTGTTCACTGTACATATTGAGATTTTTTTAAATCTCACCCTTTAAGTTTTCCCACCTTTCAAGGTAATCAGAGATCGGGAGTTTGGAGAGGGAAATCGGTTGGTGGTGGAGGGATGTTTTATTTAAATAAAAGGGGAATTCATATTTTTTTAAAAAAAAAATTTAAATAATTGATTACTGTTTGGGAATAAATGTTCTTTTTATTTTATTTTACCTTGAAAGATATCTTTTTTTATTGATAAATAAATGAATGTTGTGTGTGTGTGTGTGTGTATATATATATATATTTGAATTAGTAACACTTGAGTTTTCAAGAATTTGGGATGTTACACCCTTTCCCCTTCTCTTCTTACCCCTCTCTACAAGTTCTTGGTATGAGAGCTTGACATTTTTCTCTAATTGCAAAAATTTTCGAAGCTCCTACCAGTGTCGAATTCAAGAAGTTAGTGCAGTAAACCATCACTAAGCATTAAGATAAGAAGTTGGGAGTTGCAAAACTCTTAACAACGGCAGGCAGTCAAAGGAAACTGAAATTGGTTCATCAGGAAGGTGTGTTTACGGCTTTAATATCATTCCTATTTACTGTTTTCAGTTTTTATTTTTTTTTTAGTGATTTTTTTTACTGCTTCTACTGGAACTGGTCACCGGCAGAGAAGGATTTTTGATTGAGGTTGATGCTGTTTTTTCCTTATTTTTGTGTTAAAGATAAGACTTAAATGATATGCACGTGACCTTATTTAAGCTTTTAAATCAATTGGTTTAAATGGTTTCGGAGCATACAAAGGTCCTGGGTTCAAACCCTGCCTCTATCCATTTATTAAAATTTGTGCATGTGCAAGGCTTACTGATAAAACGAAAGAATCCGCCTAAATAGTGACTTAAATGATTTACATGTGCATATAAAAGGTGAAAAAAATAAAAAATAAATAAAGAATCATCTCTCAACATAAAATGTAATTCTCTTCCTAAAATAAGCATCCTTTCTTGGCAAGTACTCTGGATTATCATTACGATCTCCATCAGTTGAATTGCGCATTACAATCGAGTTCTTTCAAACTTCTTAATTATTATTAACATTTGATCAAGCCTCACCATGATCACAAATAAAATTGAGAATTCCTTTTCCTTCATTTATGGGTTTTTATTTTGTGTGCGGTGGGGGGCTCTACATTTGACCAATAAAAGATAATTATATAAGAGGATAAGAAACTCTTTATTGTCTATTTGGTCTAACCATCTCATCATCAGAATTTAAGGGAGACAGTGCAGGTAAGATACAAATAATACGAAAGTTTGGAAAGTAGACCTTGTAGTTACGTGTGTGAACCTTGAACCCCATTGATTCGGAAGCTGCCTTAATTGTTGAAATTATGACTTTTGCAGGTTGGCGGGAAACAAAACGAGTTTGGCGCTTCACATAATCCTGTAAAGAGGTAGAGATTTTAATCCAGCTACCAAGAAGTTACTGAACAAGTTAACTGGTGTACTGTTAAAAGAACAAAAACATTCTCCAAGAAGTTAAAATAAGGAGACATGATCCACATCAATATTTTTGCAATATCCAAAATTGAGAACCCTTGTTCAAATAAGCATCAAGGCTAATATCAACTCCACAAGTGCCTAGGGTCTACAATTTAGATGGCAAATTATTAGAGCAAGCCAATTTTCACTGCAATTTACATGTGTTTGAGAGAGAGAGAGAGAGATAGAGAGAGAGTGTGAGAGAGAGAGACAGACTTACCGACCCCAATGAGGCATGAGCAAGTTTGGCTAAGTTTTATAATGAAGTAAAAGTTAATTATAAGTAATTCTTTGTTACCAAACATGTCTGAATATTATTACTTAATTAATTTTAAAAAAAACTACTTGTTTTGGAAGTAACTCTTACCTTACTCTTAGTACATGTAAATATTTCCAACTTTGACCAATACAAAAATTATTTCTTTTTGAACTTAGCCAAAGTGCAAAACAAGAAGGCAGACAGATAAATAGATATTACCCCCAAGGTAAATTATTACAAGGGGTAATGGATGGCTCAAGAAGAACCGGCATTTTCTAAATTACAAAAGAAGTAGAGCTCATTGTAGAGAGCATTTGGATTAACAGAAATTCATAGCCGATAAGACTCTAAACTTCAGCAAACAAAAGTATATTACAACAATATTCATACGCAAGTGCCTCTGATCCTTGGGTAACCCAGGACAAAAAATTGGTAGTTCTTTGATTCAGTTACTATTTGTCACGGTACAAAATAAATCTGAGTACCTGATGCCTGTCAAACAAGGCTGATAGGTTTAACCCTTGAGACAACGTAATCATCTCAAATGCATTCATTATCAGAGGACCAGTGTCATGTTTCCCAGATTCTTCATTTACATATGTGTCCTGTATAATTTCAAAGAACAACAGCAATACAGTTTAAAGAGAGTTGCTGAACTGAGCATCAAAGGATAACCTCTTTTTGTCTTTCGATGACTAGAGTAAAAATTCCAATAAACTAGGCCATTGATTCTTGAATAACTATGCAAATTGATATAAAATAAATGGTGAATCAAGACCGAAGCTCTCAAATCTTTTACTTAAAAATCTTATTTCTTCTCGTCAGCTATTATCCTTGTGAATACAACAAAAATAAAATCAGAAACAAGGATCAAACCTCAATGTCATCAAAAACAGCACAAACGTCATCCAGATTCACTTCTTCAACTTCTTTAGGTATTACAGGCACATAATTCTTCTGGAACCATGGGTCCTTTTTGATCCCTTCAATCTTAATTCTCTGCACAAGAGATCCAATCAGAAATGGAATATCATCAAACATCCAATGCCTTATATGTCCTACAGGTAAAAAGGATTGCCAGCAAATGAATGGAAAGACAGGTGAAAAAGTATTGATAAATAAATGGTTCTAATGCTTTTTATGGCACTTGTACATATAATGTAATTCACGAGTATCAAAAGAAATGTTCGTATAACAGGACCTAATAGATTGATATGTACTAGAAGTTGAATGTGCAATCCAAATTATTGCATATACTTTCTGGCTTAGATAATTCATGTCGTATAATACCTAAATCACCATTCACCAAGTGCCATGTGGCATATTGCAAAATTTTCAGCAAAGAATTAAATGAGGAAATTAACCATTAGTAGAATGATATTTTTCTTTCTTTTCCGTTTTCCTACATATTGCAAAAAATTGAAATATTACACTAAAATTCCTAATGATAGGTTAATCATTAATTCCACAAACTGAGAGAGTATCTGTAGATTTATTGATCTGATTTTGCTGATATTTCTAGATACAACCCACTATTGTTAACTCAGCCTGAGAGGAATACCTAGTTCCTTTTCTGTCCATCTCAAAACCTTTCACCAACAATATATTAATTCATGACGGTCTTTGGTTAACTTGTCCACTTCCACTTGGGTTAGGGACAATTAAATATAGTCAGAAATGTCTCCTGCTTTAGTTGTGTGTGTAATCTGTAACTATATAAATTGTTTAGGTCTAATGAAAAGAGTAATTAATGAAGAAGCAAACTAAGGGTTTCATGACCTGTAAATGTTGAGATAAGAAACAATTTCCATACTCACAGTTTCTGGATTGGGATCAAGTACTTTATGCAGCAATGACACGGAAGCCGGAGAAAACCAAAATGGACATGAAAATTCTGCAGCATTTAACTGAAAATGAAAAGAAAAATCAGATAACTTTTTAATTCGCCAGGATGGCATACAGTATGCTCACATCATACCACAGTCTACATGGAGAAAGCTGAGACATCACCAATGAATTGCATAAAGAAACAAAGACATCACTATAGTAGCCTAAGCAGAGGCATAATAATAGACAGAGAAGGGATAATAACAGGCAATGTGTAGGACCCAATCTTTAACCAGTGATAATCCAACTTAAAGCCACCCAGAGTTTGATAATTGCACTTCAACAGAGCAGTTGAATGTGTGCGCTCCTTCAGTTTTTGACTAGACATGTATTTGCATGGGCTACATTAACTGACATAAATGTCAAAATAACTTAAACAGAGATAACTGGTATACAGAAATGAGAGCATGTTTGGCTAAGCTTAAAATCCAATTAAAATTGAAAATATAGCCGTTATTGAATCTCACTCGTCTAATAAAAGTCAACAATAACGGCTAGTTTTTCAATTTTAATACGATTTTAATCTCTACCGAACACGCCTTGAAGGTTGGTTTCTTAAAAAAAGAAGCAACAAGATGCATAGGCATCTGATAGGAAAGTAGAAACAGTATAAGAGTAGCATCTTGTGCAAAAATGCTATAGGATAAATTGCCAGAATTGGAATAAGCAATGAGAACGAAAGAGAAAACTTGCTGAAAGCAGTTTATAACAGAATTTCAGATGACAACAAAGGGATTATTTGCAGCCAAATATATATAATACGTAAATGTTTGAAAGGTAAGAATCTAGCAGACTAACTTTTTTATACAAAGTAGGAAGATCTATCTCGTCAAACGGAAGATATCCTGCCATCAAAACATAGAGGATGACACCACAAGACCAAACATCAGCAGCAGCACCATCATAACCTCTGTGGCTTAATACCTGAATGAAAGATCAGAAACTGAGATCTGGGAATAGTTCAAACAACATTTCTCTAAGAATAATATGTAAAAAAGTAAAAGGTTTTGATTTACTGACTCTTTATCACGTTCAAATCCATCAAAAACCACAGACACACTACAAGTTTCACAAGGTTATGTTCTGATTCCAATACAAGCATTCTCAATGTCTCAAAAAGGCTAAGCAAGGACATAACAAAAGAAGTTAACTAGAGACCATCCCAAAACCCAAAGAAACACATCAAAGATGCATGCTCAAAGTCAATGTGATTTATTATATGCATCTTGAACAATTTATAATATTTAGAAACATTATACCTCTGGTGCAATATAATTTGGAGTTCCACAAGTTGTATGAAGAAGTTCAACTCCCTGCAATAACAAGGAAAATAATAAATACATAGTTGATGACAGCTGTAACCACAAAATAGACAGTTCCTGAAAGCACCATTGTGGACGGAACGGTCTAGTTCAAAATTTAATGCTATTAATCTTACTTGTTGAGGTAATGCACTCAGTCCAAAATCAGAAACCTTCAAGTTTCCTTTGGAATCAAGGAGCAGATTTTCAGGCTGTTGATTACCCAATATATATATATATGTATAAAAAAATCAATTGTTAGTCAAACCTTGAGACCATTGCATCACACAGTTCTCTCATTAGTTGAGTATATACATGCAAGTAACTGAATGCAATCACATCTTAAAAACTGCTTCATACCTTCAGATCCCGGTGGTACACGCCCTTGCTATGGCAGTGTGAAACTGCATCTATAAGTTGTTGAAAGTAATGCCTTGATTCATTCTCAGAAAGCCTAACTTGGTTAACCTGAGCACAGGGTATCACATAAGAAAGATTTGTGCATCTATAAACCTTTGACCATTGCATGTGAAAACTCCAAAACACTGAGTCGGGGATGGAAAAGAGTTGGTCATATAAAGACTGTAATGAGAGTTTCAGCTATCCTTGGAAGTATGTAGCATAGACAAGCATACAGATGCCTGGCTACAAATGGATCTCTAACTTGCCTTCCTTGTCCATGTATCCTGACTTCTATAGCACACTTAAACATGCACACTACACAAATATCTTGCTTCATCTTTGAAGTATACACAAAGACAAATTAATGCTTGTTCACTTCCCATAAACTTCAATGGCTTAGAAATGCAGTTTTCTAATCAGATGAAGAGACAATGGTATATAAATTTTTAACTTTACACAAATTTATAGAAAAGAACTTACAATTTTATCAAACAGCTGACCTCCTTCGACAAGCTCCAGAACTATATATATTTTTGTATGGCTTGATAAAACCTGTACAGCAAAAGAAGAAAGAGAAAGAAATTCCATCAGAAAAATCAGATAAGTTCAGGATAAAACAACCAGAGAAAGGAGATTTAAATTCATACTTGAAACGAGAATATAAGCAACACAAGGATACCTCATGCAGCCTAACAATGAAAGGATGTCTGACAATCTTCATTATTGAGATCTCTCTTTTGATCTGGTAAACAACTCGAATAAGTAATCAAAAGGTATGTGAAAAATACAGAAAGCTACGCAGAAGTAACCATTCTCAGTAAATAAAACTGAATTAAACAAAAGAAGATTTTTGGATTGACAGCAAAACTCTGGCCTCAACTGCCCCAATTCCATGAACTTTAGACACTTTCCATTTCATTACAGACTGACTTCCAAAAGTTCTATCCTCACTCTTAAGTATGGCAAACATAAAATGATTAATATTGATGGACCACATGAATTTGAACAATTTACTTGTATAGTAGTGCTTAGTGGCCTTCATAATATTTATGCCACTAGTCACAAGACAGCTACTTACAATAGCATCTCATAATAGAGATTCAAAAGTTTCAATAAGGAACAAATGCAAATTAGTTTGAAGGAGAATCAAGTGCTACTTTGTCACGATTGAACTTCAAGTCTTGGAAGTCGAATATAGGTTTGTCTTTATAGGTTGAACAATGTTGGGGCAGTTATTAACTGAGTAAAATGAGATATGACATTGAGATAGTAACTGCATTTTGGAAATTGGAAAATTAAACTATTCCACTAAAATTTGATGAATGTTCTCTAATTCTACTTCAAAGGTTTGATATTGCCAAATTAAGCGTAGGACTTTGAGACAACTTAATTTCATTGTCTATATTTCCCTGTCAGCAAAAATAATAATAATAATAATAATAATGGAACAAGAAACCTCGACATTAAGAGCATGTTTGGCTAAGCTTAAAATTCAATTAAAATTGAAAATATAGCCGTTATTGAGTTTCACTCGTCTAATAAAAGTCAACAATAACGACTAGTTTTTCAATTTTAATTTGATTTTAATCTCTACCGAACACGTTCTAAGAATCACTTGATTATTCTATTTCAACTTTTGCTATAATGGAAAACACCTACTGTTCAAATAAAGAGACAATTTCTCTTAAACATATGATAAAAACTAACTCCTTGACAATAAGATTATTTTACAACAAGAAGTTCGCATATGGAACCATTTTAACTGTCCATTTTCACTTCTTTTTTTCGCTCTCACCATTACACCATTTACATCTTTTCCATAAAATCCAACACCAAAAAAGCAAAACTGGTATAATTAAACTCAGATAGTTATAGAAAACTGAGGAATTTGAATACCTGATCTACCATTTTGTGCTTAAGAATGGTACTTTTGGCAATGACTTTGATGGCCACACTCTTCCCATTTTCTGTACTCTGTGCAACCTTAACTTTTGCAAACGTTCCCTCACCAATGGTTCTTCCAAGATCATATTTGCCCACTTTTCTCTTCACGGCTCTCATTTTCAACCAAAACGGTCATTTCCCACACTAAACCACAGCAATTTCCCACAATAAAATTACCAAAAGCGCCAGAAAGGACAAACGCACGTAAAGTCAACCAGAATATCCCCAGGGAAACGTACAACTCATGCAGACCATTAATTGTGCACAAGAAATTCAATGCACATAAATTTTACAACAAGAAAATGCATAAAAAATGTTTATTTGTATCCTTTTTATTCATCAATTTATCTAAAATTCATCATAAATTCATAATTTTATTTTATCAGAAGAACTGGACGAATTTAGGGGAAAAAAAAAACAACAACAACAAAAACTTAGAGCACGTAGTATTGAGTACGAGAATTGAATTAAGAATGTAATCACAATTAGTCAAATAAACACAGAACTGAAAATTATTTAGTTCAGCAAGAATATAAGCATTCTTTCTCGGCCAATTACGAGAGAATTCGAGAAAAACCAGGATATTTAGTCGAACAATTACCGGAAATTTGAAGATAGACCGGTGAATTCCCGATAATGAGAGGAGGTTGGATTGAATCTAATTAATGGTTAATCACAAGGATGATCTTAGCTTACAACAGGAATGAGAAGCGAAGGGGACACGAGTTACATCTGACAGCCCTTTGAGAAACTTTCCGAAAAAGTCGCTTAAAAAAAGAAAAAGAAATGATTTTTTGAAAAGTGTAGTTGAAAAGTAAAAAAAAAAAATTATTTATATAAAATATAAAAATGATTCTTTTAAAAACACTAGTCAAATTTAACGTCACTGCATATTATTTTGAAATATTTTATAAGTAATGTAAAAATAATATTCGATACCAATTTGTTGGAAGAATTTAATCAGCCTCAAAAAAAATTTAAAAAACAAAAAAATTAGGACAACAAGATAAGGAAGTTATACTCTTGAACTCAATTTTTATGATTCAAAATTAATTGCTAATACTTGAATTTAAACATCCATTAAAATTTTTAAATACATGAATAAAAATAAATTCATCTATGATAATTTTATATTCATATAGATCAAAATTCATAAAGTCGAGATTAATTGAGTTTAGATTAATGTGAATGTTAATTAATTGAGAATTAATAACACGAAATTCATATATAACAATAATTTTGTAGTATTTATTACATATTGAAAAACGAAAAGTAAAAAATTATTGAAATAATTGAGATGTAGTATGGTTAAATCATTCAAACAATGATTATCACCTGATATTTTAATATATTATAGATATATTTAAAAATATATATAGAAAAAAATTGATTTTTTTTAATGGTTATAGGAAAAAGTGATTTAGGCTTATAAACAATGCCGTTGTTTGGACTTCATTGAAAATGAATTTTGAAATAGTAATTTTTGAAGAATGTATGGTTAAAAAATAAGGAAATTTTTTGAATTTACGTGTAATATTATTTTATTGAAAAATGTGTGGCTGAAAGTAAGAAATGGAAAAATATATTTTGACAAAAATAAACTCAATCAGGGGCAGTTTATGAAAAACCAAATTAATTTTGACCTACCCTATCTATCACATCTCGAAGAACCTATTATTTTTATAATTTAAACGGTTTTACTTCTCAAAATAAAGAAACCAAAAGTGCCTAATAATTAATATAGACTAAAAGGCAAAGAATAAAAGGAAGCAAAAGTGCACAGTAAAAGAAATAGAAAAAACCTAAAGAGTTCACTATCGAACATTTTGTCGTATATATTAGATATAATCCTTTTTAAAGGACATGATTGATCTCCAACCCATATCACGTGTCCACTATGAAATGATACTAGCAATGATGTTCTTTCGTTACTAGATCCTCCTCGATACATTGAGCAACAAGATATCAATATTTTATCAAACAATTTAATGATAAATTTTTAGTATATTTTCTCATTACCAAGGTGGGAAGTCTTATTTTTTCCACTGACCTAGATGTTACAATAATACAACTTTATTTCAATTTTGATTTTATCTCCTAACAATATCCTTCTAAAATTACATCGAGTCTTTACTAAAACATAATCCAGAATCACATCTTCATTATCTAACTGAACTCGTAACATACCATTGGTCTCCCCCAAGTAGTCCGATCAAACGAGTGAATTGAAAGTTGGATTTACATTGAATTTGATCTCAATTGCCACGTCTATCCTCTCGAGGAGAATTTTGATTTCAAATCCCGGTTCGATCGTGTGAATAACAAGCAAGGGAAAATTACTTCAAACCCTCCGCACAAACTATACTATTCAAAACTAAAATTGTCTAGTTTTAATTTCAAAGATCATGTGTTAATACATATTTATTAAATTAATTAATACATATTAATAATATCATTATTTAATTTAATTTTCTTTGCTTTCTCTCTCTATCCTTTTTTTAATTCTCTCTTGAAATTATGTCATTGTCTCCATTCTCTTCTCCAGTGTCAACCAACACCTTCCCTCATCTTCGGTGTCATCAAGTCCTTCACTCACCAATCCTTCCCTGATTAGTCTCGACGCACTGCAACACTACTATGAGGCATGCATTCGAAGCACTGCGGTGCCTATAATGACTGGTGCAGCGCCGCTGCAAGGTGCACATATTTGGTAATTAATGGGTGGGAGTGGTGGATCTACTTTTTAGGACAGAGAAATGAGAAGTGTGAAGTGCTTAGGAAAGTGCATCATATGAATTAAATGGTGTTAGTGTTAATGCAGTGTTAGTGTGATTTCAGTGGTGGTGCAGTAGTGAACATTCATTTATATGTTAATTTTGACCCTCTATGATCAAATCTGAGCTAATTGTGATCGATGGTGACTGTATATGACCAAATTAACGGTAATTGGTCACATACTATTATAGTTAATATTGATCTTGTCACAGACAGTCACAATGAATACAAACTTAATCATAGTTGGTCACAAATACTTTTCACCCCACCCCCACGCCCATGCCTCATCCAACATAGCTCGCGTCACCTCCTACAGCACTACTGCCTAATGGTGACAAAATGGCAGTCAGCTCGACTTGTCAAACTCAACCCATGGACGGCTTGGGCTCGTTTCAGAACGAGGACGAGCCTGACCCTAGCCTGGAGTTCGCCGGCGAGCTCACGAACAGCTCGTGGACCCCACGAGCCTAAAGTTCACTAGCCTACGATTCGCTCATGAGCCCACGAGTTCGGCTCGTGGGCTCATAAAAAATGTGAAGAAAAAAATTATAAAAATCAAATACTTTTCACCCCACCCCCACCCCCACCCCCATGCCTCATCCAACATAGCTAGCGTCACCTCCTATAGCACTACAGCCTAATGGTGACAAAATGGCAGTCGGCTCGACTTGTCAAACTCAACCCATGGACGGCTTGGGCTCGTTTCAGAACGAGGACGAGCCTGACCCTAGCCTGGAGTTCGCCGGCGAGCTCACGAACAGCTCGTGGGCCCCACGAGCCTAAAGTTCACTAGCCTACGATTCGCTCATGAGCCCATGAGTTCGGCTCGTGGGCTCATAAAAAATGTGAAGAAAAAAATTAAAAAAAAAAAAAAGCTTGTGAGCTCAGCTCGGCTCGTAAGATTACAAGCTCGTGGGCCTAGTCGAGCCTAGCTCAATCGCCAGCACCACAACCACCTCACCTTTACCACAATTTGCAAAAAACCACCACCACCAACAAAAATCAAAGTGGCTGCACAAAAATTGGTCCAAATTTGAAACATTGGAGAGCGCTACTCTGTGCATCACTCAAATCGTCGTAGTGGTGATCACGACATTGTCCAGGGCCACTGAGAGCAATGCTACCCTCGCCGAGTCTCTAGTGGGTGGGGTGAAGAAAAGCTTCGATGGTTGGGTGAAGTGAAAAGGAGAAGAGAGGATGGAAAGAGAGGAGTGATGAAAATCAATTATTGTTATTATAATTTAACACCTGATTTGAAATTTTTATTTTTTACAAGTTTGTTAAATTTGAATTTATATTCTTATAGTATTGTATTTAGGTACTTTTCCCAACAACAAAAGCTTAGTTTATTGTTTTCATTTTATTCTTATTTTCACTGTTAGAGAAGTAGTACTTCCTTATTTATTGATTTCATTAATATTATTTGTAACCACGGTATTCCTCTGTCACAAGTGAGAACATTTTAATAAAATCTCGGAGATACCGCCCTCCTTCAAAAAAAAAAAAAGTTTAGTTTATTGATTCATATATATCTTAAATTCGAACATTTCATTTCTTTTAATTATGTTGTTTTCGATACCTTGATAAAATACAATAATTGCTTTAAAAATTGATCACATGTACGTCTATTTGCTAGGATAATTTTTGACAAATCTATTGAAAGTTTCATGATGCAGATAGACTTAGTGAATTTTCCAATTAATAACACTTCGACGGTGGAATTGTCCAATTAATGACACTTCTATGAGGGAATATTTTGTCACAAAATCCCATGGTAGATTCATGATGATCCTTTGCTGACATCATAGCTAATATTTTGATACAGATTATTAAAAAGTTATTTTTTTCAAACTCATTTTCAATTACATTTTCTTAAAAAATAATTTTACACCTGAAATCATATTTTTTCTTACTTTTTAACAACATATTATTTAAAATATTACTCTTCACAAAATTTAGTCTAAAAGAAAATCTACATCAAACGTGCTTCTAAACTAATAAATAAATTACAAAATTAATATCTAAATTCAAATCGATATATTTGATAAGAAAATTAGTAATATACGAAATGCATAATAAGAAACTGAAAAAATCATTCCAATAGAAAGTAGAAACTCCACAATAATCAAGGTAAATTCAAAATGACATAGTTATTAAACCCGGACCAGACTGGTCGGTTCAGACCGGAA